CAGGGAAGTAGTGTTGTTATATTTTGATCAACTCGACCAGAAGAAATGTTCATATATTTAAGTGATTATCTTGTAAGCTAAATAATGTGATTGAATGTATTTAAAAATGTAAATAAAAATAATTAAAAAAATAAAAATAAAAATTCCTGGAAGACTAAAAAAATAATAATAAATAACATGATCTTGGCATTTGATAGAAAGTGGTCAGATATGGAAGATCAGTTGCTGAGTGAAGTAAGTCAGGCTATGAAAGAAAGATATTGTATGTATCCACTTAATATATATCGACTATCTGCATTCTATGGTAGAGGGCGAGATATTGGACTACATAAAAGCAGTGAAAGTACTTAACGAGAATAAGACAGTGTGGAATTGGGGGGTGAAGAGAAGAGGATAGAGAAAGATAGCAAGAGAACAAACATATAGGCAGGACGTTAGTGGGAAACAGCTATGGCTTATTACCTGTTGATGGTGGCATATATAGTATTCTCAGCTGAATTGATCTGAGAAGTATTTCATGTTGGGTAAAGTCTTTTTACAAGCAAAACGACAAACAGTGATTGACTGCTTAAAAATAATTAGAATAATAATAATGATGGGGAAAACATTGAAAAGATATTGAAGGATGAAGTGGGGAGATTAATGTCTCTGTACTGACTGACGTGCATGGCATTCCCTTTTGAAAAAGTAATGTAATACACTGTAAAGTTATATGTAATCCAATGTAATATAAACAAGATTATGATGATAGTAAAAAAATAAACTAAAAAAAGACAAAAACAAAGAGGAAAGATGCAGCATCGAAGGGTGTGACAGCCTTCATCTTTTTTTATTTTAAAGAATTATTTTGTTTAACTTTGTTTGTTTTAATTTGACCAGAGTGGAACAGAGTAAGAGAGAGAGCAGGAGTGAGATCAAGAGAGAGAGAGAGAGAAGGTAAGAGGGCAGTCCACCAGATCTGGGACTCGAATCATGGCTGGCCATGTGAGAGTCCAGTGCTCTTAACCCCCATGGCACCTGCTGACCCCACTTCATTCTTTTTCTTAAAAATTTGTATTGGGACTTGCAGGTGGTGTGGTGGTTGTAGGTGCTGGACTCCCATGTGGCTGACCATGGTTTGGGTCCTGGACCTGGTGGCTTGCTTTTTTACTCACCCCTCCCCCCTTGCTGTCCCTCTCTGGTCAAATTGAAATATAAATACATAAATCAATAAATAATAAATAATAAATAAAAACACACACATACAAAATCAATTTCATGAACACAGTGAAGAAAACAGAGGGTAATGAAATATACATGAGAATGAGATCTAATAAATTCATTAGATAATTTATTAGAAAGAGATAAAATAGACTGGATGAGAGTAAAAGCTTATTTGGACTTCCACACATATATTTCCTTGATAAACAGAAAAATAAGGGCAAAAATAAGTATACCCAAGAGTGTAGCTGCCATATTCCTCTCCAAGGTTTCCTTTGCCATGAGCAAGTTAAAAACTATTCTAGTAAAATGATAAGCCAAGGTTGGGCAGTTTATTCCTTCAACACCAAGAGAAACTGACTATGGAAGAAACTGACTCTCCTGAATTTTGACCCACTTGTGAATAAAATAGTCCTCTTCATGGAACAGAAAAAAATATATATATATTCCCTCTAAAAAATGGATCAAAAATGAAATTGATTTATAAATGAGAGGATTGAAGGTTGGGGTACTGATTCATAAATCTTGCAGTGTGTTATGAAAAAAAGGGAAAATGGCATGGAATCTCTACTTCCTGTGATTTGAAGGCCATTGTGAAGGAAAACAATGCAGTGAAAGTTCTTAGTAGATCATTGCTTCACATTTATTTTTCTTTCTGTATATGTGTATAGCCCTTAATAAAAAAAAATTAAAAAATGGGGACCAGCAGGTGGCATGGTGGCTAAGGCACTGCACTCCCATATGGCTGACCATGGTTCAAGTCTCAGACCTGGCAGCTTGTTTTCTGACATCCTCTTTCTCTCTGTCTCTATCTCTCTCCAAAGAGTACATGTGCCCTGTAGAAAACTTAAAACAATAGTAATAAAAATAAATAAAATAATATAAAATAATTCTTTTTAAAAAATTATACTATATCCCTAAAATAGGAACAATTACTGTATGTCAATAAATATTTTTATAAGCACTCTGACCCTAGTATACAAAGCAAAGATTTATATCTTTGCAACTGATACAGTAAATAGCTAAGAAATCTACAAATATAGTCAGCCTCATAGATAAGGAAATAATTGCAAATGTAGTCTCATAGGCATACTTCTTTTCCTCTATTAAGTAATTTTTTTCATGTGGTCACACAGAGTGAGAGAAGATGCTTCACAATGTGTTTGATTTAAATTGGTGGTCCAAGGTAATACCAACAATGAAATCCTTACTTTTAATCTTTCTCATTAATACAGAATTGTACCCAAATATGTCTCATCTTAAAAAAAGAAAAATCTGACTACCATACAACCCAGTAGTTCCACTCTGGGCATTTACCCAAAGGCTAGGAAAATATTGTTGTAAAAACACTTGCATATCCATATTCGTTGCAGCATTATTCACTATTCCCAAGACATGGAATCAGCCCAAGAGCAGAGGATTGGATTGAAAAATGAGGCACATATACACTATGGATGTATATACATATATACTCAACCATTAAAAAAAGAGAGAGAGAGAAAATGACATTTGATACAAAGTGGATAAATATGGAAAATTTAATGCTAAGTGGGGTAAGCCAGACTATGAAAGAGAGATGTTATATGACCCCACTTAATATATACTGAATATCTTCACTCTATGGCAGAAATGGAAAGATTGGAAGGTAGAGAAGCAGAGAGGACAACCATAGATACCAGAGACAGTATAGGAGAGGGTGGGAAACAGAGTGGGAGAAAGGACATCAGGGAAAAAACATTTAACAGACACAAAAATAAAAAGTATTTGTTGATGATAATGTATAGATATTATCTTTGATTTAGGATTAATATGCACTGTATTTATGCTGGGGAAAAAAGAAAAACATGTTATACACTGTAAATATGTACAGTGATTGGGGACAGTGAATGGCATAATGTTTACATCACTGGACTCCCACATGGCCAACTGAAGTTTCAGTCCCCGACCTAGTGGCTTGAAACTCATGCTGGGTGTGTGTGCATGCATGACCAATATTCCGGGAGGAGAATGGGAGAGAAGGGATTGTAGAATGGCCATCCCCCTGGGAGGTGATTTATCATTTTCCTTCTCACTGTCTCTTTCTTTCTGGTGAGCACATGTGCACTAAGGCAAAAACCTCTTAAAGAAAAAAAGAAACATTTATAAGTGTATTGCTTATCATTACCAAATTTTTATAAGTGGTAATGACAGCTCTTAATTTGTGCTCCAAGCATAAAGCTTCTAAGAGTTTATAGAAAGCATCATAAGGTCAAGAATAGTGGTACCTACCCAAGGGTTATTTTTTTTCCCTTCTCTCTTAAAGAATTATTTATTTAATAGTATTATTATTAAATTTTAATTTGCTATGTGACATGAGTGCTCACCAGAGAGAAACAGAGAGAGAGAGAGAGAGAGAGAGAGAGAGAGAGAGAAAGTGAGAAAGCAAGCTGTCAGTTCTGAGACACAAACTGCAATTGACCATGTGAGAATCCAGCACCTTAGCCATCATTCCAACTGCTGGTACAGAGTGATTTTTTTAAAAAAATAGTTTTTGCTATAGGATGCTGGTGCTCACTGGAGAGAGAAACAGAGAGAGAAAAAGAGAGAGGGAAAGTGAGAAATCATCCCAGGGAGATGACCATGTCATAATCCCTTCTCTTTTTTTCTCCTTTTGGGCTTTTGGGCACATGCACACATGCATTGGATATTTTTCAAGCCATGGGTCTTAGGCTCAAACCACACAATTGGCCCATGTAGGACCCAGCCATCTTACCTACCACACCACCTGCTGTCCCACTTTCTAAGGCTTTATACTAGATGAACACGGTTCTCTCCCTTGATGAAGATATAATAGCAATTCGCTATGGCTAGCTGGAGCTGTATACCCAACAAGTGAGTGCTTTGGAGTTCCAAGGGAACTAGTGAAGGCAAGTACTTTGGAGCACATTTTAACTCAGAGTTGGCAAAAGATGCTAACGTGGATCTCTAGAGGCAGAGGAATTCACAGAGAGGTAAGAATAAAAACTGGATTCACTTGGTCTCATGGGAACAATCAATGAGCAGAAAAGTGTTTCTTTCTGTTCAGACCAGCATCCACAAGAGAAATCAGCTAGTCAGGGTTTATAGTAACAAGAAGGAATTGTACCAAATGAACAGATAAAAGGACCTGTAAATATATCTCATTCTATTTTCCTCAGTGTTTACAGACTTGTTGCTTTTGCAGCTTTAAGTCAACTGGGGATTGACTTTAAGTCGATTGGTCAATGCTTCATTCCATCCTTCCATGCTGCTGGGGACAGAGCTTCAGTCTTCTTTACTTAGACGTCTGTAAAGGAATGTAGACCCCTGCAGAGAGATATTTTCAGAGGCCTCATCCAAGTGAGTCTGAAAACCTGGCAGAAAAGGTTTAGAGAGAATGGAAAATAAATGGTATCCAATGTCACCTGAGAGCCCAATAAACCTAGACCAGAGCCAAAGAGTGCTATGTTTGCTTGGCTGACAACTACTTTGTAATTTATTTATTTAATATGTTAAAAAAGAACGGTAAGCGCTGGCAGGTGGTATGGTAGTTAAGGCACTGTACTCCCATATGGCCAACCACAGTTAGAGTACCATACCTGACAGTTTGAAAATCATGCTGGGCACGTGTGTGTGTGTGTGTTCCCCAGATCCCAGAAGGAGAGTGGAGGGGAAGGGATTGTGGTTTGGCCATCTCCTCCGGGGATTGATTTCTCTCTCTTTCTCTCTCTCTTTCTCTTTCTGGTGAGTACACTAGCCCTATGACAAAAACTTAAAAATTAAAAAAGAAATGGAAGCATCTCATTGCTTTTTGATTGTTTTTGCTAAAATAAAGTGTAGTATATGTTCTTAGTAGTTTAATATTTGATATGTCATCTATCCAAGGACAATATAGTAAATGGATTTTTAGAGCAGGAAGATGAAGGGGAGCTTGCTCTATCCAGTCCATACATTGAGCTGGTATTGCAGTACTCCCAGGAATGGTGCACCACTTTTGGGGGATTAAAAGGTGTTTCCTGGGGGCTGGCAGGTAGCATGGTGTTTTAGGCACTGGAATTTCAAAGGATCAGGTGTGGCTCGAGTCCTGGACCCAGTGGCTGAAAAATCACACCAGGTATGTGTGTGTGCATGCTCCATATCCTAAGAGAATTGAGAAGGGACTGCAGCATGGCCACCACCCCTGGGAATGACTTTTCACTTTTTCCTCTCTCTCTGTCTCTCTCTGACAAATACACATACATTCTATGGCAAAAACCTTTAAAAAAGAAAAAGGAAAATATTTTAGACTGAACTGCATGGATGAGACTGGAAATGTTAATGGATGAAACTGAAAAAGGAACAGGAGGAGTAAAAGGGTTTCAATAACATTAGAACATATCGGGGCCAAAAGTTGACATCAAGTCCCATGTTCAGTGGCTTTAAAATCATCCCAGGTGCATGTGTGTTTGTGCCCAAGATCCCAGGAAGAGAATGGAGAGGGGATTGTGGTCTGGCCATCTCTCTTGGGGGATGATTCCTCACTTTCCTTTTCATTGTCTCTGTCTCTCTGATGAGCACATGCACTTAAAAATGAAAGCTCTAAAAAATGTCTAAGAGAATTTTCAGGAAGGAGTAGGAAAATTGATTATTTGATTTTGGGGGATGCATACTGAAATGCAGGCATTTTTTTAAAGAGAGGTTTTTGCTACAGGGCATGTGCACTTGCTGGAAAGGCAGAGAGAGACAGAGAGACCAAAAGCAAGAAGTCATCCCCTGGTGGGGATGGCCACACTACAATCCCTTCTCTTTCCTTCTTCTCTTGGGATCTTGGGCATGCATGCATATATGCCTGGTGTGAGTTTAAGCCACCAGGTCCAGGACTTGAATCATGGTTGACTACTTGGGAGTCCAGCGATGCAATCTTTCTTGATGCCAACTGCTGGTCCCAATGCAGGCATGTTTAATTTACTTTTAAAGAAGTAATACATTTGGGCATGTTTTGTACTAATTGCAAAGGTTAGATGAAAGGATTACTTAAAACTACTGCCTTGAAACACAGTTCATGACAGATAGCTGATAGAATCTTCTCCCACCTTGGGCATTATCATGAAAAAAAAATGTTTTATTTCAGAGATCAGAAGGTAAAGTCAAAGCACTTTACATGGCAATTATTTCATTACATGTGAGGCTGAATCTGTTTTGGGTTTATTAGCCTTATAATTTATTGCTAATTTTCTGTTAGACCTTCGCTTTTATGTGCTGGGTCTTTTGTTTTTATTCTATTAAAGACAGAATTGGAGTTTTTCCATTAAGTTTGCTGTTTACTATTTACTTATGATAGGTAGTTAGTTAGCTAAATTACATATAGAAAGATGATAGATAGATAGATAGAGATAGATAGATAGAGATAGAAGAGAGATAGATACTTTGGGGGATAATATGAAAATATATAAAGTTGTGACCAAAGTTGTTCAAATTGCATAGTCATCTTCCTCAATGATTTTTATTTTGCTTTGTTTTTGCTATAAGGCATGTGCACTTGCATGAGAGAAAGATTGAGAAAGTGAGAAAACACCACCTCCCTCAGGGGAGATGGCCACATCACAGTCCTTCTCCACCGTTCTTCCCCTCAGGATTTTGAATATGTATGCACATGTACCCAGCATGATTTTCTTTTTCTTGATTTTTATTTCATTATTATTACTACTATTATTTTTATAAATTTGAACTCTATATATCATTTGGTTTACAAAGAGAATTTATCCAACATGAAATATGCCTCAGACCAGTGCAGTTGAGAATACTAGACATGTTATCATCAACAGGTAATAAATCATTATGGTGTCCTACAAATGTCTTGCCTTTCTATTTTCTCCATAATTTTCTTCCTTATACTCTTCTCCCCTCCCATCTTTCACACTCCCAGCATGATTTTCAAGCTTCCGGATCTAGCACTCAAACCATGCAGCTGGCCATGTGGGATCCAGCGTCTTAACTTCCTTGCCATCTGCTGCCCCTCCCCATTTTTTAAGAGATTTTTGCCTTACATCACATGTGCTTGTCATAGAGAGACAGACAAACAGACAGTGATAGGGAATCCTGGGATTCTCCTCCCAGGATCTTGGGCATGCATGAGTTTCAAGTCACTAGGTCCAAGGCTTGAACTGCTCATCCATGTGGCAGCCCAGAGACATAACTACTATGCTACTTGCTTCTAGTTCCCATTGTTTGTTAGACTTAACAAGTTCTGCATTACCAGTAGTTTTTTTTTTTTATACATTTTGCCATTTTATTTCACATGCTACTCTTCTGTTCTTTTTACCTTTGGTAATTGGAGTTTAAAAATAGAAACAATGACCTCTGTGTCCTGCAGAAAATATTCTTTTGCATTCATCTAAAGATCACTTATTGGGCCACCCTGCATTCATTACTTGAACAGTGCCTAGAATATGAAGAATCTCAACTTCTGTTACTCAAATGCATGAAGAAATTTCTTTATAAAATTGTATAATGGCCAGTTGATGACATGGTGTTTATTGAGTCCTGGACCTGAAAGCTTGGAAAATACACAGAACAGAATTTTGTGTGTGCCCAAAATACCAAATGGTGAAATAGAGAAGAGACTGGCATGGCCATCTCTCATGGAGGGTGCTTTCTCACTTTCTCACTATTTCTTTTTTTTAAAAAAAATACACACACACACGTGTACATATATATATGTATATTATAATCAATCTCTATATATCATTACAGCTTACAAAATGAATTTTCCCATCCAGAATATGTATTAACTAAATTAAAGATATTACCATACATATTATCATCAACAGATAATTTCCCATTTTCTCCATCTGTCTTTCTCTGGAAAGCCTATGCAGCTTCTGGCAAATTTTAAAATAAATATATAAATAAAAACAAAATGATAAAATGCTTGAACTCTTGGGGAAAGATTGACAATAAGACAGGAATTCCCAATCAGAAATAGAGTATGAAAAGGGGATCAGATACTTACTGAAAATATACAAATTAATTTCTTGACTAAAAAAAAAAAAAAAGTGTAGCATTTTAATATGCGAGTTACACTCTTTTGAGTGAAAAATAGTCATGTTACTTTTCTCTTTCCCGGTAGCCACCTCCACCACATGGAGTCAAGGAATAATACAGAAATTTCAGAATTCCTTCTTCTGGGACTTTCAGAGGAACCAGAATTGCAGCCCTTCATACTTGGGGTTTTCCTCTTCATGTACCTGATCACTGTGTGTGGAAACCTGCTCATCATCCTGGCCATTGTCTCAGACTCCCACCTGCATACCCCCATGTACTTCTTCCTCTGTAACCTATCCCTTGTGGACATCTGTTTCACCTCTACTACAATCCCAAAGATGCTTTTGAACATTCAGACACAGAGCAAGGTCATAACCTATGCAGGTTGCATCACCCAGATGTTCTTTTTTGTACTGTTTGTAGGACTAGACAACTTTCTCCTGACTGTGATGGCCTATGACAGGTTTGTGGCCATCTGTCACCCCCTGCACTATGTGGTCATCATGAACCCCTGGCTCTGTGTGTCATTGGTTCTGGTATCCTGGTTCATGAGCATCCTCCATTCCTTGTTACAAAGCTTAATGGTGTTGCATTTGTCCTTCTGTACACATGTGGAAATTTCCCACTTTTTCTGTGAACTTATTCAGTTGCTCCACCTTGCCTGCTCTGACACCTTTCTTAATGATGTAGTGCTATACTTTGCAGATGTGCTACTAGTTGTTGGACCCCTTTTGGGCATCATTTACTCTTATACTAAGATAGTTTCCTCCATACATGCAATCTTGTCAACTAAGGGGAAGTATAAGGCATTTTCCACCTGTGCCTCTCACCTCTCAGTTGTCTCCTTATTTTATTGTACAGGTCTAGGTGTGTATCTTAGTTCAGCTGTCATCCAAAATTCACATTCAAGTGCAACAGCCTCGGTGATGTACACTGTGGTCACACCTATGCTAAACCCCTTCATCTACAGTCTGAGGAATAAAGACATAAAGAGGGCTCTGAGAATATTTGGGAAGGAAACAAAGGATCAATTGTCCTAGTACAGAAGAAGTTCATTTGTTAGAGCTTAAAGCATCAGAGCTATAAATGATGAAAATATGATTGGATTAGAGAAGTGAAATTTGTTTCTTCTAATATCTCCAGGAACTTGTATAACTTAGATTTCAACTTCTCTGTATAACTTATTTTTATTTTCAAAATGTATTTTAGTATTATCATAACCTTGTTTATATTACATTGAATCACATATATATATATCTTTACAATGATTACATTTCCTTTTCCAGAAGGAATATCGTGCATATCAGTCAAGACAAGGACATTAGTATCCACATCCTCTTTATCAAGTAGGTTTTCATATTTTTTCCAGATTATTATAATTTTTATTCTCATGTTTAAAAACATTCAATCACTATATATCATTTTGCTTGTAAAAAGAATTTACCCAACATGAAATATTTCTCAGACCAGTCCAATCAAGAATACTAGACATGTTATCACCAACAGGTAATAAACCATTTCTGTGTCTCACTAATGTCATGCCTCTCAATTTATTCTCTTGTTAACCTTCTCTATACTCTTCCTTTCTCCAAACCCATTCCACACTGTCTTAAGCATCCCTATCTATTTTCATTGTTTTTATGCCCTCCAATATTTCAGTCTCTACCATAAAGTGCAGAGAGTCAATATATAGTAAGTGGATACATACACAATCTTTCTTTCATATCCTGGCTTGCTTCACTCACCAATAGCTACTCCATATCTGACCACTTTATATAAAGTGCCAGGCTCTTTTTTTTTATAGCTGAGTAGTATTCCATAGAGTATATGTGCCACACTTTTTCAATCTATTCATCTGTTTGTGGACATTTGGGTTGGTTCCATGTCTTTGTGATTGTGATAATGCTGCAATAAACATTGATGTGCAAGCGCTGTTCTGACTGAGCATTCTCCTGTCCTTTATTTAGATACCCAGTAGTGGGACTGCTGAATCAAATGGTAGCTCTATTTGTACATCTTTGAGGAACCACCATATTGTTCTCCACAGTGGCTGAACGAGTTTACATTCCCACCAACAGTGTAGGAGAGTTACCCTTTCACCAAATTCCTACCAACACTTATCACTTTTTGTATTTTTAATCCTTGCCATTCTTACACGGGTTAGGTAGTATCTCATTGTGTTTTTAATCTCCATGTCCCTTACGATGAAGGATGTTGAACTTTTCCTCATAAGCTTTTTGGCTATTCATATGTCTTCCTTAGAAAGATTTTTGTTTAGCTCATTTTCCCATCTTTTAATTGGGTTAATCTTTTTTTTTTTCCAAGTAAGCTACTTGAATTGCGTGTATTCCGGTTATCAGTCCCTTGTCTGAGGATATTTTACAAAATTATTCTCCCATTATGAGGGCTGTTGATTCATACTTGTTACTGTGTCCTATTGTTTGTGCTTTGAGAGTCTTATTTAAAAAGTCTTTGCCTACTCCAGTGTCTCTCAGAGTTTCCACAGTATTTTCCACCAGTACTTTTATAGTTTGAGGTCTTAGTTAACATCCTTGATCAATTTTGAGTTGATATTTGTTAATGGTGAAATATGGGGATTCAGTTTCATCTATCTGCAGGTGGAAACCCAGTTTTTCCAGCACCATTAACTGAAGAGGTTTTCCTTTTCCCAATGGATTGACTGGTACCCTAAGTCAAAATCAGTTGGATGTAAGTTTGGGGGTTTATTTCTGGGATCTCTATTCTATTCTATTGGTCCACCTGTCTGTTTTTGTGCCAATACCATGCCATTTTGATGATCACATCTTTATAGTATATCTTGGGGTCATGGAGTGATATTCCACCCATTGCACTTTTCTTATGCAGGATTTCTTTGGCAATATGAGGTATTTTATGATTCCAGACAAATTCTATGATTCTCTTTTCTAGATATGTGAAGAATATCTCTGATATTTTGATTGGAATTGCATTAAATATGTAGACTAATTGGCTAGAATTGCCGTTTTTATTATGTTACTTCTTCCAATCCAGGAAGATGTAATATCCTTTCACTTTTTTACGTCCTTTACAATATCTTTTTTAAGATTTTCATAGTTTTCTTTGTAAAGGTCTTTGAGTTCCTTAGTTAGGTTTATCCCTCGGTATCTTATATATTTTGTGGCAATAGTAAAAAGGATTTATTTCTTCAGCTCTACTTCATTTAACTTGTTTATATATAGAAATGCTATAGATTTTTGGATGTTGATTTTATACCCTGCCACTTTACTGTATTCACTTATTACTTTGAGAAGTTTTTTCATGGAAATCTTATGATCATCTAGGTATACCAACATCTCATCTGTGAATAAAGATATTTTCAGCTCTTCTTTGCCTGTTTGAATGCCTTTTATATTGTTCTCTTTTCTGATTGCATTGGCTAAGACTTCCAGCACTATATTAAAAAGCAATGGACAAAAGGGGAAGCCTTGCCTAGTATCAGTTTTTAATTTTTTAATCATCATAACCTTGTTTATATTACATTGGATTGCATATAACTGTACAGTGTATTACATTGATTTTTCAAAAGGGAATGCCATGCATGTCAGTCAATACAGAGACATTAATCTCCCCACTTCATCATTCAATATCTTTTCAATGTTTTTCCCAATCATTATTATTATTATCATAATTAATTTTTTAAACAGTCAATCACTATTTCTCATTTTGCTTGTAAAAGACTTTACCCATCATGAAATACCTCTCAGACCAATCCAGTTGAGAATACTATACATAGCATCATCAACAGGTAATAAGCCATAACTGTTTCCCACTAATGTCCTGCCTCTCTATTTGTTCTCTTGCTATCTTTCTCTATCCTCTTCTCTTCACCCCCTCCCATTCCAGAAAAGCTTTTAGCTTTTCCCCATTCAGTATAATATTAGCTGTAAGTTTTTCATAGATGGCTTTTATTGTGTTGAGAAACGATCATTCTATACCAATCTTACTGAGTGTCTTAATGATGAAAAGATGTTGTATTTTATCAAATTCTTTCTCTGCATCAATTGAAATGATCATATGGTTTTTATCTCTCTTTCTGTTAATACACTTATTATACTTATGGTCTTGCATATGTTAAGCACCTTTGCATCCCTGGAATAAAGCCCACCTGGTTGTGATGAATAATATTTGTTATGTGTTGAAGGATATGATTTGTGAGTATCTTATTGAGAATTTTTGCATCTATATTGATCTGTAGTTTTTCTTTTTTGTCATGTCCTTATTTGTTTTGAGAATGAACATGATGGAGGCTTCATAGAATTAATTTGGAAGGTTTCCTTCCTTTTGAATATTTAGAAATAATTTGAATAGGACAGGGTTTTACTCTTCCTTAAAAATTTTGTAGAATTCAGAAAATAAGCCATTTGGATGTGTTGTGGACTTTTTTTTTTTTCAGGAGTTATTTATTACTGACTCAATCTCATGGCTTGTTATGGGTCTATCAGGTTTTCTATGTCCTCCTGATTCAATCTTGGTCTATCATTTGCATCCAGGAATTTGTCCATCTCCAAGTTATCTTGTTTGTTGGCATATAGTCACTCATAGTATCCTCTAGTGATATTTTGTATTTCTATTATGTCTGTTGTAATGTTGCCTGTTTCATCATGTATTTGGTTTTATCCGGTTTTCCTCTTTCTTCTCCTTTATCAGTCTAGCCAATGGTGTGCCATTCTTGTTAATCTTTTCAAAGAACCAGTTTTTGCTTTCGTTTATTTTCTGTATGGTTTGTTTATTTTCTATTTCATTTATTTCTGCTCAAATATTTATTATTTCTTTTTACCTGGCATTGTTTGGATTTCGTTTTTGTTTTTTTTCCCAGTTCCCTGAGGCATGATGTTAGGTTATCTATTTGCCACCTATCCATCTTTTTCTTATGTGCACTAATTGTTATGAATTTCCCTTTTATGATTGCCTTTGCTGTGTCCTATAGATTATGGAAAGTTGTGTACTCATTACCATTTTTCCATCAATTTTTTATTTCAGACTTAATTTCATCAGTAGTTAAGAAGTCATTCTGAGGTAGGTTGTTCAGTTTCCATATGTTTGTGTATTTTCAAGGGTATTTCTTGAAATTAATACTGAATTTATATCTGTCTTGGTCAGAGAAGATACTGGATATAGGTTTTTTCCTTTAAATTTATTTATTTTTTATATTAATTCACTAAACATCATTACAGCATACAAATGAATTTTCCATCCAAAATATACTGTATATTGGCTCAATCAAGCACATCAACAAATATGTTATAAGCAAATAATTTTCCATTTCTTATTTCTTGTATACTTTTTTTTTTTTTTGCTATCCTTGATTCCCTATCCCTCACCCTCTGTCATGTCCCACCCTCCTCCCACATTGTCTATGGTATCCATGGTTGCTTTCTATGCCTTTCCCTCCCATTTAATTGATTTGCTAATGAACTTAATTAGTCTAAATATTTCCAATATCAAGCGCAGCTGATATATACCTATACATGAACCCAAGTCTGACTTTAGGCATAAACCTCAGTGAGTAGAATGAACATACTATAGAGTAGTACCTAGCTGGGGCTATATAGCTTACTGCAGTCATCAAATATGCATTTTTTTTTATTTCAATAAGAACAGTTTTAGTGTCATTTTTTTTCCTCCTGAAACTTTTTTTTCTTTAATTACTTAACATTCATTCCCTGAGCTTAATCACAACATACTAAAACTGGTTTCCCATCTAGAATAAACTGCATAGTGGCTTAATCATGTATGTTATCATCAATAATATTTCATTTCTACTTTCATATATATGTATATGTATATGTATATGTATATGTATATATATATATATATATGTTTTTACCCCATGTTTGACCCTCTGCCCTTTCCCACTCTCTTATTACACTATCTCTGCTATATACAGTTGTCTTCCATTCCTTTTCCCCCAACATTTTGTTGATCACACATTGTCATAAGTAATCTAACTATTTTCAATAGCAAGTTCAGCTGGTAATTTCAAGAAAAGTAGTTTTGAACT